GACAAGCAAAAGCACTTAAGGTACAAAACCAAGGAAATCCAGTTTATTACACAGAAACGGATTTGCCATTTGTTGTAATTGACTTTATGATTGTGTACAGGGAACTAAAACATATACTGTACTATATGTTATATTATTATAGTGGGAAACCAATTTTTTATTTGAAGTTGCAGTTACCTTGATCTTTGACCTTTTTCCTTTCACTGGTAGTAATGCATCAGCATAGTCAAAGTATTGTATTTCAAAAACAATTTCCATCATGTAATTTATTAGTATTTTCTAGATATGATTAAAGAAAAATATGCAAGTTTGTTGCTGACACAAAAAAAGGCTAGTGACAAATGGCAAGAAAATGTGTCATCATTAGTTCAGTTAAAGATATGCTGAAACATATCTGACTTTTATCTTCTACCTTCAAGACAAAAATGCAGTTAAGTCTATCACATAGGTCCCGTGTAGACATATTTAGTGTAAGATTTACCGATATGTACATTAAATTAGTCTACCAAATTTGGTCAGTACGTAGTTAGCATTCTAATTTTTTTTTAACTCTAGCCATTGTAACAGTACAGGTTGCTTCAGTATAATAATGCATAAATAAGTATACATCACACTGGCAATTGAACTTAGCCTGATATTTTCCATTATGTATACATACGCATACCAAAACCAAGTGACTTTTTGAGGTTTAAAATGGACCTAAGTAACAAGTCAGAATACAAAAGTCTTGTTTATGATGTGTCAATATATGCATGCATGAAATTGGCTTTTAACCTGCTAGTGGGTTTTTGCATACAAAATTTGTTTAAAACCAGACCATTTTTGGAACAATTACTGAATGGAATATAAGGAGTGATAGAGGAACAACTGACAGACACACACCAAGTTAATATCCCTAATTTCTATACAAAAAAGCAGGGGATAAATATAAAGTACGTATGTCTCAATACCACTATAAATGTTCTGGGCAATATCAAGCTTTACAGCATGCTGCTACAACCGCAATTAAAACTAGAAACTTGTTTTTGTGAACAAAAACATATATGTCTCCCCTTCTTAGCCAACAGACAAACTTCGGTGTAAAAAATTAACAAAGGGTCATATCTATTTATAAAATGGGGCACAGACCCGAATTTAGAATGCGACACTCCTGCTTCCCAAGATGAATAACTGCAGCAACTTTGGTCAACGTAGGTTAAATAACATAAGTTTTGCTGTGGGCAAACTTCGTTATTAAAAATAAACAAAGGGCCATAACTCTATATAAAGTGGGGCATGGGACTGGATTTCAGTTTGAGAGATTCCGCCTTCCCAAGATTTATAAATATGGTAAGTTTGGTCAACATAGGTGAAATATCACAGAACTTGTGCTCAGGACAAATGTTGGTATTAAAAATAAACAAAGGGCGATAACTCTGTATTATGTGAGGCACAAGACTGAGTTCCATTGCATTGCACACCTTCTGTGGGTGATGCAGGTATCCTTCAAGTTTGATTGAGATATCTTTAATGATTAAGAAGTTATGCAGTGGACAAACTTTGATATAAAAAATAAACAAAGGGCAATAACTCTGTATATAGTAGGGCACAAAACCAAGTGACTTTTTGAGGTTTAAAATGGACCTAAGTAACAAGTCAGAATACAAAAGTCTTGTTTATGATGTGTCAATATATGCATGCATGAAATTGGCTTTTAACCTGCTAGTGGGTTTTTGCATACAAAATTTGTTTAAAACCAGACCATTTTTGGAACAATTACTGAATGGAATATAAGGAGTGATAGAGGAACAACTGACAGACACACACCAAGTTAATATCCCTAATTTCTATACAAAAAAGCAGGGGATAAATATAAAGTACGTATGTCTCAATACCACTATAAATGTTCTGGGCAATATCAAGCTTTACAGCATGCTGCTACAACCGCAATTAAAACTAGAAACTTGTTTTTGTGAACAAAAACATATATGTCTCCCCTTCTTAGCCAACAGACAAACTTTGGTGTAAAAAATTAACAAAGGGTCATATATACATATCTATTTATAAAATGGGGCACGAGACCCGAATTTAGAATGCGACACTCCTGCTTCCCAAGATGAATAACTACAGCAACTTTGGTCAACGTAGGTTAAATAACATAAGTTTTGCTTTGGGCAAACTTCGTTATTAAAAATAAACAAAGGGCCATAACTCTATATACAGTGGGGCACGGGACTGGATTTCAGTTTGAGAGATTCCGCCTTCCCAAGATTTATAAATATGGTAAGTTTGGTCAACATAGGTGAAATATCACAGAACTTATGCTCAGGACAAACGTTGGTATTAAAAATAAACAAAGGGCAATAACTCTGTATTATGTGAGGCACAAGACTGAGTTCCATTGCATTGCACACCTTCTGTGGGTGATGCAGGTATCCTTCAAGTTTGATTGAGATATCTTTAATGATTAAGAAGTTATGCAGTGGACAAACTTTGATATAAACAAGAGGCCCATGGGCCTAAACGGTCACCTGAGTCTACAGTATTTATTTTTGTTGTTGAAATATGTACCAATTTGAGTAAAAAATAGTATAATGTTAACTTAACTTTGTCAGGACCATGAGCTGATCATTCCTAGACCAATTTTAAGTGAGATCGGCCTATTAGAACTTAGTAGCAAAATAGCGGCCATGGCAGCCAAATTGTATTTCTGATTGACCCGAAAAATAACAACACTTTGTCAGGACCATGAGGTGATCATTCCTACCAACTTTCAGTTCAATCGGTCCAGCAGAACTTGACTTTAAGTTTGAAATGTAAAATGTTAACGGACGACGGACGACGACGGACGAAAACGGATAGCAATAGGTCACTTGAGCTAAAGCTCAGGTGACCTAAAAATAAGCAAAGGGTCATAACTCCGTATATAGTAGGGCACAAAACCCGATTTCAATGTGAGAGTGTCCGCCTTCCTAAGATACATAAATATGATAAGTTCCACTTCCTAAAATACATGAATGTTGTAAGTTTGATCAATGTAGGTGAAATAACATGGAACTAATGCTTCGGACAAACTTCGATATTAAAAATAAACAAAGGGCTGTAACTCTGCATAATATGGGGCACGAAACCTAATTTTAGTTCACTGCACACCTTCTGTGGGTGATGCAGGTATTATTTCAAGTTTGATTATGATATTTTTAACAGTTTAGAAGTTATGCAGTGGACAAACATCGGTATTAAAGATTAACAAAGGGCAAATATTCTGTATTTAGTTGGGCACAAAACCCTTTTCAGTTTAAGAGATTCCGCCTTCCCAAGATACATAAATATGGTAAGTTTGGTCAACGTAGGTGAAATAACATTGAACTTGTGCTCCGGACAAACTTCGGTATTAAACGAAGGGCAATAACTCTGTATATAGTCAAGCACGAGACCTTATTCCATTGCACTGCACACTTTCAGTGGGTGATGCGGGTATACATTGATCAAGATATCTTCAACGGTATAAAATTTACGGGCTGGACAAGAATTTACTGAAAATGTTGCACTGATTTCACTTTGACCTTTAGGTGAAAGTCACAGTGACCTAATTCCAGTGCACTGCACACCTTCTGTGAGTGATGCATGCATACCTCAAGTTCCATCAAGATATAATCTTCAACGGTTTAAAAGTTATAGCTCGGACAAGTTGCGATGAGAACAAGAACAGAAAGAACAAGAAGAAGACGACCCTGGACTTGTGGCCATTATTGCGTTACCATTGTATCAAATTAGGCAGATATACTGTATATCAGGAAATGTTTGCTGCAGTTTCATTTTCACCTTTTTTGCCTTACGTAATAAGGGCAAATTTATCATTGCAGCAAACATTTGTAAACAACTTAATATACATAGGTAATTAATGTGAAGGGCTAATTTATTATAGAGTGAAAATGGATTTTAACAACAAAGAGTGAAAAATTTGATAGGGCAAAAATTGCCCATTGAGAGTATATACAGGGTATATGTTATACCTCAGAGTACAAACAGGTATTTTTTTTATATAAATCAGCAGGTATATGCAGAGACTATACATCCAAACAAACATTTACATAAAAACATACAGTGTAATATGTAGTTTAGATGCAAATTAAAATGATATGATGTTTGGTGTGTAGCTGAAGGGCTACACAGGTATTTTTTTAGTCTTATCACTCATGAAAGCATTCATACAACAGTTCTTTATCAATAATGTGTAAACACCTGTATGACCTAATTCAACATAACCCTGTATAAGTTGCAAATAAATTTTCTCCATTCACAAATACTTCTGAGCACTTGTTCTGCTGCCAAGATATATAGAGCAGCAAAATACAGTTTGCCACATATTTTTTTTACCTAAAATATTGAAGGAATGGAACTGGCCTTCTGGTGGCTATCACCGATAAGTTTTAGGTTTTGCATACATACCTTGGGGTTATGCTGTCATGAAATGACATGAAACTCAGGTCAACTTCAAGAACATTTCCAGATATGAGGGGTTAAAGGTGGAGACCAAATCACATATGGCCTTTTTTTCCACAAAACTGCATATTATTTTTTGAAACAAGGTATGTATATACATGTACCCGTGATAGCCACCAGAAGGCCCAAATTGGCACCCCTCCTTTATCAATTTTGTTATGAGGTTGTTTTTTTAAATTGGATTTGAAAAACATTTATCATGGTGTGTTGCAAAATCTGACTTATATGACTTTCAGCTGAATCAGAAATAGCGAGTTTGAACCGATATCATACCTGTTGACTGAACATTTTGTAGATTTTAGTAGCAGTGGTTTTGATTAAATGTTGAAGATATATGTGAAGACATGAAGCTGGTAGAGTCATGACAATGAATCACAATACAGCAGAACGCAGGGTGCATGTGACATTCAATCACTGGGTAGAACGGACTTGGGTAAACACTATATGGGCAACACTCTTTCAACCTTCATTTACCTTGCTAGTCAATACCTTCTACTATAATCTCAAACATTTACCTTTGTTTCCTGATACTTTCAATCCAATGTTTCATTGTACTGCGATACTTATGCAGGTCAATGAATGTGTCAATTCCCTGTGGATCGAACATGGTCGCCAAATTTTTCAGATCTTTGTCATTCTGAAAAAAAATTACGAACAGCTGTTTTAATTATATCCTAGTCTGAGTGAGATGCATGATTCAAAATAGAATTTGACTTGCACATTAGCTACACAACAGAAAAAATTGTCAATGAAAATAGTCAAAATATCTCACAATCCAGCCATTTTCATTCCCAGTTAAAAAAAGTCTACTTCTATTTGAAATGATTATCAAAACTGCTTTATACTTAGAGCTAACAATGCAGACAATTACTGATGATTTTTTTTTCATTTATGTCTTAACCTCAATTAAAACATATATGTTTTTTAATGAATAATGTTCATCTTTGGAAAGAAGTTAAAGACAGTGGTGGTTTACTGTAAAGATTGCTCCAGTTTGAAAGGTTTGATATTTCCTGCATTTCCAAAATTCTAGGTCATTTTCTTCCTTAATCTTTACGCTAAAACAAGGTATATTGATAATTACGTTATGTGTACTTACAGATGAAATAAATATTACCCTATTTTACTGGTGATAATCCTAGGGAGCCTGTGCATGAAAATAAAATAGTCAAAAGTAAGGGGTGGGCTTATCACCGGATTTGAGCCTGTGTTTTATCGGTCATATGCCCACTTCCCTGTGCATTGAGTGACTGAGTTGACCGTTAACTGCATGCTGTATATATGTACGACACAACAAGGTGATGCTGTATATTTGTAGAAATACTTTACGTATATAGGTATGTTTGCAACAGTGCAATTTTAGCTATGAATAACCTGCTGTACATGTTTTAGTTTTTTCTCAATAATGTTTTAGTGGTACATTGTAACAAGAGTCCCTTGGGTCTTAACAGCTTGCACCTTGAATTTTATTTTCAATTTCAAACCTAGTGAATATCGTATATATATTTATCAAAAGCGTACAAGAAACATCAGTTAATGTAACAAAGACCAAATCACCAGGGGCAGGCATGACACCTAGCATACATAGTGAATTTGTTTCTTCCTGCCAACAGGTTTCATTTAAGGTTATGGAGCAAGGATTTTAATATCTATGTTATGACCCAGTGACATGGCCAGACATCGTAAAAAATCCAAGTGGTAGACCTTTTGACCTAAAGGTGAAAGTCACCGAGACCTAATAACACTAAACAGTGCAATACACATCTTCAGTAAATTATGCAGGTTATATATAACTGCGTAAGCAAGATTTTGCAAAAATGTTGCACTGATTTGATCTTTGAATTTAAGTTGTCGGTCACAGTGACCTAATTATACTGCACTGCACACCTGCTATCAGTGATATGCAGGTCTTTGAAGGGAAGACATAATTGTCACACAGGACAAATTTGAACAAACATAGTTTTCTTCTACACTAAGACTACATCAAACGTAAAAAACACTTTTTCACGTAACTTTAGTCATCAGAGTAAATTACACCTAAAAATGTAAAATCTAATAAATCTGCAAAGCCTAGCTTTAATAAACCTCAAGCTATATAGTTTAAAATAGTCCAATCATTCCTGAAAGATGGGTATTTTTAAAGTGGATACCAATATCATAGGTGTCAACCTTTGAAAACTCCAATGAGGGCAAACTCCATCATTCCACATTTCCAATGAGGAAGAAAGTGAATGAAATGCGACTGAAACTGCTTTGCTCAATTTATCTTTCCCTCTTTATGTATCAAAATAACTCAGAAAAGCAATCATTTGATTCAGACACACCTGTTATGATCATTACACATGGCCTGCAGTAACTAGGAGATCATTTGACCACAGGATGTAGATTTTGAGTTTGGACTTGTCGAATGAGGGAGTTTCGAGGGAGATTGGTAAATTTCGGGCGATATGAGAGAGTCTCCCTCCTAATGAGGGAGGGTTGACAGCTATGCAATATTGTATATATATTTTTTACACAATCCTAGTACATACCTCACTTATATTACTGTTGGTTAACTTAAGATATTCAATAAGCCTGTGTATATGAACTTTCCCCACATGGTCAACATCACATGTGTAGAACAGACTGTCTATAAGGTCCTCCTCTGTCATTGGACGGCTGTTGTAACCACAGTCCCCATTATCTGAAGGCCCCGGGGTACACAAGTCCTCATTCTTCAAAGATACTTCAGAGCAGGGATTCTTCTTCTCAGAAAGCCTTGCAGAGAAAGGGTGGTTTTTGTCCAAAACCCCAGAAGAAGAGGATTTTTTCATTTCCAACTTGACAGGGTAATGCTTTTCTAAAATCTCCGGTGTACATAGATGATCTTTCTCCAGCAGAGGATAGGGGTAATCCGACATCTGTGGGGAAAAGGAATAACCATCATTTGTTGTCCCTGGGGGATAGGGATAATCCACTACTCTCACCTTCTGTACATTGCAAGCCATATAAATAACACATCAAAACTTAACACAGACCAGGTATTAGATTGGGACAGATCCAAGTTATTGTTTCAGCATGAGGTGCACAAGGATGCAATCTTCTAGATCTGTCCTTGATTCCTGTAATAACACATAGTCAACATTTAGTAAAAGTTAATCATCAGCTTATAATTAAATATTTCCACATACCACAAACATGACACATCCTTTGTTTGTGTTGATCAAACTCAAAATAAATTATACACTTCTCTATGCCACAAATTTAACCCTGTCAGTCCACAGAGCCGACTATCGTAATTGTCTACAGTCAAGGTCACTGATAGCCAAGCCATATTTAGAGGTATTTAATTTCATTGCTGAAGTGGTAGATTGGAGTTTCCTAAAGTAGAGCATGACCATTTCATTAACACTAGTAAACAGGAAGATTTGGTGAATTAAATAGCCGGTGGTAATATAACAAGATTACTTATCACACATGCATTCCGTAACTGGAAATGACACAGCTCAAAGTGTATTGCTTGCCAATGAAACCAAACCATGTTTGAACAAGGAAATTAGAAAGTGTTCACCTAACTTTGATTTCTCTTAACACATTCAGGTGTGACATTATCATACACGTAAAATGTTGAAGTCTGGCCTTATGCCCATAGGAATGAGGCTTCAATTCTTTTCAAATATTCTAAATCCCAACATCAATATACACAAAATGATTGCAATCCCATTAATGTGTCATTTGTAAAAGGAAAATGTGACATAAGCAAACGGTGACTTAACAGAAAAGTTGTATTTCTGTGAAAAGAAACCACTATTACAAAATGTACAGATCTTAAATGCATGTACAACATAAAACATTACATAGCAAAACTAGGTTGAAATATATTTATTTTTCAACAATTATGATCAAATTTCATAAACTTCAGAATCAATCAATCTTATTGGCCTGGATGGAAATGTGCAGGGGATCTTATGTGGATAGAAACCAAAGTAACGAGAAAATCCCACGATTTCTGACAGGTGATCCATAGTATTCCATACCTTTTCATGTGCTGTTGGGGAATCAAACACTGGTCATCTTTAATTTGTGAAAGGCAAGGGCACTATACATTTGCTATGACACCAAACGACCCTTAGTTAACAAGCATACTGAGTATTGCTAAAGCAATACATGTCCCCTACCGGCCCCCCTTAAGCTATTACACTGTAATGATTTATAAAAATCCCTTTGGTGTTAATTTGGGAAAATGAAAAGAATACAATCAGCTTGTAATTGATTTTAATGTAATAATAATACAAGAAATTGTAATGTTAGTATTATGACAGATGAATCATATTAAATAAAATTATTGTTATATTTTGTTGCTTTTGTAGTATTAAATCAATTACTAGCAAGGGTGCATGATTAAGAGACGTGAATATCATCACCAATGTGTAATAACGTGTTACTTATCCAGTTTTAAATCAGATCATTATTGCCCTTTTAACAGCATTACGGCCCTTTGAACTTGGAAGTTATTTTTTGTCTGTAGATATCCTAATGTTTCTAAACCATAATGTTTACATGCTATTTCTAATATGTCCGAGATATTATGGTCCTTTGTAATCGTGTGAAGTTTTATCAAAATCCCTCAAGGAATGAAGCCGCTAGAGTGCTGACAAGGATTTTCTAAAAACAGTAATGGTGACCTAGACCTTGACCCTACAACCCTGAAACTTGAACTTGTCCAAGATATTATGGTCCTTTGTACTTGTGTGAAGTTTGATCAAAATCCCTCAAGGAATGAACACTAAGGCGCTGACAAACATTGGTGTTGCGTACGTACGTTTGCCATCTAGGAATTATAACACTGTATAAGGATAAAAAATAGTGCCCCATTTATGGGCCACAAAGCCCATGAAAACCTGAGCAGTAGAAATTATTCAAAGACTGAAAAAAATCTGTTTTGGTTGCTTCATCTTCTATGTAGAAGGAAGAATACTCAAAGTCAAAACAAAACTCAATGGAACTCTTCTTCACAATTATAACTGATGCAGTCATTGCATTGCAGGTACCTTTTGCCTTAAGAGGGATTAAAAATTCATTTATTGTAACTAAAATATGACATTACACAATGTAAGTGGTACCAACTTACATTTATTTTCATTTGGTTTTCTTTTTAACTGTTCCCAAATAACAGTCATAAAACATTTCAGGTTTTATGCTACTTTACACATTGCTGTTAAGGGAGTTACCTCCCTTCAATAATATTTTCTTTTAAATTAGAAATATCTATTATAAATTAAGTGTTTTTACTGTGTTATACAGTGTTCTTTTCAAATGTATCAACAGTACATTAGCTAAGTTCAAATTGTCAATCATTGAAGATGCTGAAAAATAAAATTTCTTACTCTAAGAATCTTTTGGAAGGGAGCTAGATCAGCCTTCAAAATAAGGTAGCCGATATACTTAAGAGAAGTATCGCTAATTAGTGAAGTATCAAAGTAAACAATGCATGATGAAGTTTCTTACCTTCCAGAGACAGTTTCAAAGTTGAAGGTAAATAAACACAAAGTCATTAGCTTCAAAACTATCAGTGCAATAATGCAGTGTGTTTAACATAGAAAAGGTATATTTAGGAGAGAAATTGTTATCAGCAGGAATGCGATACAAAACAGTTAATGCAATATACACCAAGAAGCATCAATCATAACACAATCTCAATAAGATTTTGAAGTGCAAAAGCCCTGGAGGACATTTCCTGTGCTTCATATTAAATATTTCATTATATAACAACTGTCTCTGTACTGTCATGTATGTGTGTGCAACATTCTTTAGATTCAGGGTGTATATCCATTTAACAACTTGACATTATCAAATATACTGTTCAAAAATCAATTTCCAATTGACAAAAAAATATGTTTTAATTCTAATAAAAAAGTTATTAATTTAATATTGGTGAGTTGTTTTATACCTGTATTATGGCACATAGGTTGACGGCCACAGCATAGATATTAAAAGCCTGATTACATGTACTAACAAGGATTTAATGTTAAACATTCAAAAAGACAGATTAAAATTGAAAAATAAAACTGTTTATAAGGGATTCACAAGGACCAGCTGAAGAAATAAAAAAAAAACAAGATATTTGTTATTTTTCAGATATTTCTCATAAATTGCTTTTTGAAAATTTGTGTGAATGTCGGTTCAAGTTAACCAGGCTTTGACTGAATGCCCCAAGACGTTTTGCCAATTAATTACTTCATCAACCTAACACTACAACTTTACAGAATGATTGGCTGTCAATCATTTGTCAAAATGCACTGCTAATTAGCTCATGGCTAAAAATATATTTATCCCATCACTGAAATTTGATTAAAAGTATTGTATTAACCATAGGATACAAAAAATGTGGTAGTTTTTGCTCGATATCTATAGATATACACAATAGCCACATTTAAAACACAAGCTCCACAGCAAACTGAGCAATGGGTAGTAAATCTAAATCAAAGTGACTGTAGCAAAATATAAAATTTGATACCCTGGTCTACTGCTTCAAATATATAATGAAAGTAAGATAACCATTCAGTTAACAAATTAATGGTGTATTATAACTTAGTTTCGAGCTGTATATTGATTTACTTGATAAATAACTATAACATTACCTCAATCTAATTTAGATTTTTACCAAATTTTGATAAATGTATACAGCTTTGAGAAATAGGACTGGCCTGTTGTGTACAAGTTTACAATTTTCAATCAAAAAGTTATTTTAACTGAACTCTGTCATCCCAAAAAAACAATCTTGTACATATAGGGACACATATTAGGGGGAAATATGTTCTTTAATAGCACAACGTGTATAAGTCAACTAGTCGGACCCAGACACCAAAAAATTGTGCTTAAAACAATGCACATGAACATTGGTGTGGAAACAAACACGAGTCACTGAAGTATCATTAACTTGAACCAACATAAAAATTCCAAATAGTACTATCAAAAATTGTTCAAAATACATTTGACAGCAAAGAGGCATGTTTTTTGTATTGTGNGAATTGATCAAACCACGGAATTAGAATAGTTATCTAAGTCCGTGATCAAACACAGGTGTATACCAATTAGCAGAATCTGTTAAAACCTTAAACATATATATATAGGGAACCATTTGCACAAATTCGGAAGGGAAATTCAGTGGTCAACTGTAGGAGACAGTGTTTTGTTTTCATTTGACAGCGTCTGAGCGTTGTGCCGTCTGCTTACCAGTAAACCCTACGAATGTCAGTTCAAGAACCGAAGTTGAACAATCTGTCTCGCAATAAGATTAAATTTCCAATAAATAAAAAGAAATAGGTTGCATATATTTGTAACAAGACAGAAAGTACAACCAATACGGATCCATTTCCAGAACACTGTAATGTCTGCTTACATCGCACCTTTCCATGTTGTCTGTCAAACGTCGCGCGCCGGTGTCGCTGGTAAAGTTACAGTCCGGTCGGATCTGAAATTAGTTCCGGGTTGATTTTCTTCCCAAAAGTCGCGGATAATGTCTCTTGAGATTTAGATGCAGACAATCTCTATAAACTTACTTAAGTTTAATTCATTCTTTAAGGATATTTTTTGTCTCAGATTCAGTAGGTGCATGCATGTCAGAGGAACAACAGTTTAATGTCTCTGCTAAGAGACACTGGATTTGAAAGCTTGAAAAGTATAACAACCGGGAAATTAAAAAAAAATACTAAATCTACAACTTTGTCCTAACCTAACTGTTTATCAGTTGTCAATTCATTCAACTAAGAAATTTCTTTTTCTTTCGTTTCTTTCTAAGACCTCACAACATGGTTTGCATTAAAATATTCCTATTGAATCTTACATTTTTGTTTCCGCCAAATTGCATTTCTTTTGAAATAATTCCGCGTTATTTTTCCACACACCCATCGTAGAGCGGGCAAAATACACGACCAAACCGAGATTCGATTGCGGGACCCTTCTTCAGAACGTACTCGTACACTCCATAGGGTCTCATTGAAGAATATAAATGTATATAAAAACGATTAAATGTCCATGTGAGATAAGTAAATTTAGAAAAAATAAGATTTAACAACCGACTTAAGTTTTTTAGTCAGTCCGCGTTAAATCTTATTTTTTCTTAATATAT